TTCAGTTCTTTTTCTCAAGCCTGCATCCAGGCACCTGAGCTTTCTGCCCTGGTGATCTTCTGATTCAACAGGGATCTTAGTGGGACATCTTCAGTGGCAGTTCCCACTGTCTGAGATTTTTCTCATTGTATCAAAGGTCATGGGTCAGCTGCCTCCTTCCAAGGACTGCAGCTTCTGGAGCATCCAAGAGCCCCAGGTTAGACATCCTGCACTGGAGCCATTCTCAGAGGGGTGGGTTTCATATTTGCTCCCTGGGCTATAAGGCATGAATCCAGGACTGCTCTGCATTTACTGCAGCCATTGTTGTTAACACACATGCTAAGTTCTCACCCATGAGGCTCAACAGCCATTTTCCCTGATTCCTCACTCAGGAGATAAACCTCCTAGTGATAGATCATGAGGACACTATTGAGGACGATGTGAGGGAAGGTTGTCTAAGTCTGTTGGGAGTGTGGGTATGTGAGTCATTTAGGGTTAATTTATGTATCCACTTGACTGTCGAGTGGGTGCCCCTGTATTTGCTCACATATTATCTGGATGATTCTGTGTGGATATTTTAAATCATGAGCTGGGTGAGGCAGATTGCCCTTTCTAGTTGGGGAGAACTGTGTGCCCATTCCTGGCCTGCAGGGGACAATTGTGACCTTCCTGTCTGATGGCAATGGAACTGGAGTGTCCATATGAGCTTTGTTTCTCCCTCCAGCACCCAGGGCACATGGGATCCTCCTGCATCTCAGAACTGAGTCCATAGACTGGAACTAACTCTGAGAATCCTCTGTAGCCCTCCCATTACTGTCATTCCTGGATTCCCCTAACTCTTCCTTCTATTGTGATCCCTTATTTCTTCAGAGCTGCAGTGCAGAGGTGGGATATGTGTCCCACTCCAGGGAAGTCCAGAATGAGGCAGGTGTGACCTGGAGATGAACCTGGTCCCCATCAGACTCAGGGTGCCATCAGCCCTGCCCAGTCCCATAGGCCGTGTCTCCACCTCCCCTTTCTCCTCATCCTTGTCCTTACAGAATGGACAGGAGACTGTGACAGAGGAACACAAGCACACTATTAAAATTATTGTCTGCCCTATTCCAGCACAGCCTCTTGTCACAGGTGCTTCCTCTCCAGTTCATATAATCACATGTTGACTCCTTTCACCTGAGTTTGTTGTCCATCTTCCCTGTGCTGTACCCCCTCCTTCCTGATCAGGAAAATGGCAAAAAACACCTGGTTATAATCAACTGCATTCTTGTGAAAACCAGAGAGATGGAATAGGAAACTCAATAGCAAGATGTGTTCCATCCTCACCACAAAATGTCATTTCTCTTAAAAAAAAAGGAAAGGAAATAAAAAGTGGTCACAGCTTCTGTAGCTCAGTGGATTGAGCATAGGCTATGAACAAAAGGGCCTCTGGTTTGATTCCCAGTCAGAGCACATGCCTAGGTTGTTGACCAGGTAGGTCCCCAGTGGGGTGGCACGTAAGAGGCAAAAACACATTGCTATCTCTCTCCTTTCCTCCTCTCCTTCCCCTCTCCCTAAAAATAAATAAATAATTTTTAAAATGAAAAAGTGAACAGATTCAAGAACAGAGGAGCCTCAGAAACACATGCTCAGACAAATGGGTCACTCTCAGAATCACAATAGCTGCATGCATCCATGTCTGTGAGAGATGGAGGGTGAAGGGCATGGAGACACAGCCCAGAAAGTGGATGGGGAAAGGAAATGAGGAGTTATTACTCAATGGGAACTGAGTCAGTTTGGAAAAATGAGCATTTATGAATTTGAAAGGTGATGATGGTTGCATAGCAGTGTGACTATACTTAATGTCACTGTGTCCATTTAAAATCGATTAGCATGCTGGTTGTTAGTGTGTATTTTATCACAAATGTCACAGCAGCACTAATGAGAGGTGTGAACATTTTTTTTCCAGGAGAGGTGGTTCCTCCTTACCCTGCAGGGCTGGAATGGAGTCTGGACTACTGCAGGTATGCAAGGTCATTTGCAGGAACTCATTTTTGGGCAAAAACCTCAGAAAGAATGTGCCTGTCACATGGGTATTTCCAGAGAAATGGAATCTGGGAAAAGGGGGAGCTTGGTCCAGGATTCTGAGCCACAGCATCCCTGAGCTGAACACAGTGTGTCAGGTTGATGTGTGGGGTCAAGGCCAAAGGGTGCGACATGTCCTTAGGGTGCAGGGCATTACAAGGATCCAAGTTTCTCTTTGAGAGGGATGCAATGTAGGTGGCATGTCTTTAGGGTCAGCATTCTCTGCCTCAGGGTGCAGCCAGGATGATGGTGGGAACCCACAACCCCCATGAGGCTAATCACACACAGGACCCTGCTGCCCAGAATGGACGCTTCCTTCTTCAGAGACACATTGTCACAATGAATTTCACTTTACAGTGTCCCCCAGAGCCAGTAGCCAATGTATCCCTCTGAGATCAACCTGGCATGGGAGTGACAAAAGTGACAAGGCCTTCAACAGGTTCCACTTCTCTGTGTCTCATTATCTACAGCTCCTGGAAACCTGGGACAAGAGACACCTATGTGTCACCTGAAATGCATCTCAGAACAACATCACAGGGATAGGTGAGCAGAGGAAGATATGTCCAGACTGAGGCCCTCTAGGGCAGTTCAGCACATGAAATGGATACTGGCCAGCAGTAACCATCATGGCTGTGGATGCTCGTCAAAACAAGAGAAAAACATACAAACAGACAACCGAGTTCTGTGGAGAAATAGGTATGAAACGACCACTCTCTCTAGTGGAGAGTGCCTCCTTCTCCTGCCCAAGCAGGCTTTTTATTAAAAAGACTGATATAGTTAAGGAAGATAAAACAAGTAGTTAGCTTCAAAAAGGAGTGGCAGATCTCCCACTGGGATCCTGAGATGTTGGGGTTTTATCATTTAAAAAGACTACAGGACTTAAAGCTTTCTTTCCTTTCCTGCCTGTGCCTTCATATTCTAATTAAAGAGCATCCTCCAGCAAGCAGATCTCACAGGATCTTTCATATTCTATGTCCCAGGCCTGAAATTACCCCGGGTGTCTGCCGACTCTGGTCTGGACTGCACCGACCCTGTTATTTCCACAGGCCTGAATCAAGCAGAGGAGACAAAAGAAGCCAGGAGACTTGGATTTCTCAAGGACTCAGGCTTTGGCAAAGCCCAGGGGGCAAGGGTTGATGTTGATCACCCCTTCATTTCTACAGCCACCCCAAGGAGGTCTCCTTCCCTGAGGCCTCCATGTGATCATGCCTGTCCCTGGTGATCTCCCCCCATGGGGAATCTTACCCATCATTGGCTAACCGATCAAGCACTGGGGGCCGGCACAGAACAGGCAGCATTCATTCCATGGAAATGTGTTTTGTCTCCTTATTGTCTCCTAGTTTGGAGGCCTCTTACTCAGCCTTAGCCATAGGCGGTTATAGTTTCCTGAGACCAGGCAGGGAAGACCCCAATAAGCACACACATCACAGGGCTGGACAGAGCCATGGGCAGGGGCTTAGTTCTCCTCCACCAAGTTGGGGGAGGGGGCAGGAGTGGGTTTCAGAGCACAGGTGTCCCCTGAGGCACAGGTGTGCTGCTTGCTGGAGGAGTCATTCTCACTGCTTTCCCTTGGCATCCACCTCCCATTCCTACATGCTGGCCATGCTGGCCAGTGTCATGGGTCCTCACAGATTTCCCCCTTTATTTCTAGGACAGTGGTGCCATTTCTGGCACAGATGTCACCTCAACCACATGGGGTTGCAACAACCCCTAACTCTCAGCTGTCTTGTCAACAAAGGGGGGACCTCCTGAGACATTCATTAGCTGTGGAGATCTTTCATGTGTTCCATGGATGTCCTCAGGCTGTCAGATGTGTCCCAGTCCTCACTGTGCACAATTAAATAATGGGGACTGCATTGGGAATGTTCTGTGTGTGGAGGGTTTGTGAGACTTGGGGAAGAAAACTTGGTTTTCAGCATTTCCCAGCCTTTTAAATCCCATTATGGGTTTCACCTCAGTTTAGTGATTTAGTGAAAGATACATCTGCTCTGCACTTTGGTTTCCCTCAATCCATCACTTTGGCCCATCATGAGCTCCCAGTCCCCTTCTAGTACATCATCCCCAATATCCCCTTCCACTGGGGCTTCAGATGAATGTCAGGATGGCAGGTTCCAAACTGACTCTATGACCAGTCAGCAGGGCCCGTCATCCACATACATCTCAGAACATCTGCTGGCCAGAGTCAGTGCCTGTGTGTCTCTGGGAGAAGGTGCCTCCAGGACTTCAGGGCCTCATGTGGTCTAGGAATGTTAGAAGCCTCTTGAGTGGCCTGCATAGCCCTGAGGGAAGTGGCATAAAAGGAAGCACACAACATATGTAGCACCTGTCTCAGCTGCAGGGCCAGGGCTGTACTCCTGGCAGCAGGTACTGAACAGTGTGGCCCATTCCCTGGAGCTGGGCTGACACAGAGGCTGCACGTGAACCACCACCTGCAGGACCAGGGTCCTTAGCCAAGTCAAGAGAAAGAATTTTTATTTTACTCTTATTTTGCATAAACTGTTGTTTTTCATAAAATTGCATTTTTCAATCTGGCAGCAATGAATCTGCTTCATGTGATATTTTTGGACTTGGGCAGATGTTTGGGCAAATTGTCAATCTGTTTTCATATCCACTTGAATAGTGCATGAAATTAAAAGTGTGTGGTCATTCATCCAGTTCAGCTTCAATGTTTAAATGTGGAAAGATGGGCTGTCAACTGTCATGATTCAAAGTTGTCTCATAACCCAACTATGCTCCCTTCCCTGACCCACACCATCCAGTATGAGAAAAGAAATGTGCTCAGGGACCTGAAGGACATGGGACAGTGACCTAAGTCTCTCCTTACTTATGAGAACAGAGTCCCCTACATGCAAATTTCCTTCTCACATCCAGTTGAAATTGTCCCCTGGGCTGTGGGGGCTCACAACTGTCTCCTGAAAGGGGGCTGAAGTTTCTCGAGAAGGCAGAGCTGTGCTCTAGAGAAGATGAGACTGCTGGATCTCCTCCTCCTGTGCCTGGTGACAGCCCCCCTGGGTGAGTGTCTCAGATGTCAGACATAGGTCTATGGGATGGTGGTGACTGCACATGACTGACAGGGTCTGATGTTCCTTGTCCCCAGGTGTCCTGTCCCAAGTGCAGCTGCAGGAGTCTGGCCCAGGACTGGTGAAGCCCTCACAGACCTTCTCCCTCACCTGCACTGTGTCTGGATTCTCTTTAACAAGCAATGGTGTGCACTGGACCCGCCAGGCTCCAGGGAAGGGGCTGGAGTGGGTTGGTATTATTTGGAGTGATGGAAGTACAAACTACAACCCAGAGCTGAAATCCCAGCTCAGCACCACCAGGGACACCTCCAAGAGCCAAGTTCATTTAACACTGAGCAGTGTCACAACCGAGGACACAGCTATGTATTACTGTGCAAGATGAGGGACACAGTGAGGGGAAGTCAGTGTGAGCCCAGACACAAACCTCACTGTGGGAGGCAGGAGGGCTGGCATGCAGGGGCCACTCAGGACACCAGGGGGCCCTGTCCTCTCACTAATCATAGAGAACAGCCACAGGGGCAGCTGTGGACCAGGTGGGAACTGAAGGAGCTTCCTACTGAGAGCAGGGGTTTCCTCTCAGAGCTCACAGCTGCATCCAGGGACCCTGCCTTCCTCTGTGAATCTGATTTCTCAACTTTTCACTACAGACAATAAACAAGAAAGTACATATTTTGTAGAAGACAGGATGAGAGACTCAGGGACCTAGTGTCCCAGCGGGGCATGCTCAGGATATGGTCTGCATCCCAGAAGTGATTTCAGTTGTACAGAGTGAGTCCTATACTTTGGTGGCAGCTACATGGATCTCAACCTTAGTAGCCAGCAGCTGGGGGATGAATGCAGGACGCTGACATCTCTTCTGGAAAAGGAACCTGTAACCAGGGTCTGACAACACACAGACTGTGCTCTTAAAATTGCCTGTCTTCAATGCATTTGCTGCACTAGGATGGTTAAGGGAGGGTGTGTGCCTTAGTGTATGTTGTTTAGGTGTTATCACTATTGGAATCTGCTCTGGAGTGAATTCTTCTTCATCGTTGATGTTCTAATAAGATCACCCCCAGTCAAAGTATGACATTCATAAACAATTTCTGCATTCAGGCTAGGACTGAAGCCATTATAGCTCTTCATGCCCTCACACTGGAGTTGAAATCCTGTCTGCCTCCTTTTGTTGTGGTGAGAACTCCACATAAGATCTATGCTAGACACAAACCAAATACACGTGCTGTTTGTTAACCGCAGGTGCAGTGATGGGCTGCCGACCTCTGGAACCCAACCACCCTGCATCACAGGATGCTTCTTTGGGAAAGCAGCTCACTGTTCCCCTCCCACCAGCTCTGGGAAACCACCACGCTTCCCTCAGCAGCTGTGTCTGGACTGTCTGAGAGTCCTGATGTAAGAGGGACAGTGTAGTGTTCCCTCAGCTGTGCCTGTGTCCCTTCACTCACCACAGTCTCCTCAGGGTTCATCTGTGTATGTGTTAGGGATTGCCTTTTAATTGTATTGTAAAAGTAGAAAAACAAAGTGAGCTAAATCCAGTGTTTGTCTGAGGTTACAAAGAAAAGTTACTTAGGAAACGGAGATTCAGGCAGAAGCATAAATACTGTCCTGAGTAGGGGTGAAGGAAGGGGTGTTTGTGAGACAGGGAGGGATGAAGGTTCAGGACTAAAGGGGAGGAACTTCTATCCCTGCAGAAAAGCTAAGTTAGTCTTTGGCTGCACATGGGGGTGAGAACTTGAAGACTGTCTGCCATTTTCAGTCCAGTAGTCAGGATGCATCTTCCCTGTTATCTGTGCAAGCAGGTGTGTGAAATGCAGTGTTGGGGACCAGTGCAAAAGTGACTATGCTGAGTCCACATCTGCACATGTTGGAGAAGGAAGATATGCCAGGTGGTTTCTCTGGAAAGGCTGTCCCCACTCTATTTTAACATGGCCTCTCTCCTGTCAATTTGTCACAGTAAGAGCCCTTCACATGTCATGCATCCACCACAAACTCCTGACAGAAAAACACACTGTAACTCATTTCAGGCTTGAGCTCCACAGCCAACCCACAACTGTGACTCCACCTCATGATGGAAACTTCCAGCCAGGGAACTACTCTTCCCAAGTTCCTGCTCCAACTCTGCAAACACCATCCTGCTGCCTCTGTGTCCATGAGCTGTGCTGACTCAGAGATGTCACCTCCATGGGGTCACACAGTGCCGGTCATTCCTGACGGCTTAGTGCACATGTTCATGACATGCATTTACTGAAATGATAGAGATTTATGGGGTTTATCATATTTCTGTGAAGAGTTCCTGAGAGAGTGTTTACATGGTTCACTTCCCAAGTGTGAAACACATGACAATGACATCTACACAGAGGAAAAACATGAACTGATGCCTGAACTGATTTGGTGGCACACATACCTGACACATGCTTGAGAAATCCAGCACAGGTTTAAGGTCTTGTGAAAATGTGGATGTTTTCAGTGGTCTCCTAGGTAGGAGCCACCTGTGACATTCCCCAGACAGTGAAAACAAAACAGATGCTCATGACTGTCCCTGAAACTGAGCAAGAACTCAGTGCCTGTGGGGATGATGGATTTGAGGACATGGAGCCCACAGGTGGAACATCACACAGCTCCTCCATGACTGACCAGAGAGAATACCATCTTGGAAAGGGAGCCTGAGTAACGACCAGCAGGACCTGAGTTTTCACCTGTGATGCCTTGATCTGTGCAGGAATGTCAATGAGGGTCAAATAGAAACCCAGGTGAAGCATGAGATGGTGATTCCTGCAGTGACAGACAGGTGCAGCTGTGGGTCACTGAGAACTGAGAAACAGTGGATCTGTTTCTGTGCAGGATGCTGGAGTCTGAGGTCTTCAAGGCAGGTGGTAGAAGGGAAGACAACCAGCAGAATGGACAATTGACAAAGGATGAAAACCCAAGGTGTCCCTCACAGAGCTGTCCTCACTCATCTAACAAGTCCCACTCAGGCATAGAACTCATGTGGAGGCCCAGCCCATGTGGTAGGAACAAGAGAGAAAGGAGACTTCAACAATATTACCATGAAAATTATCATTCTGTTTGTGTGTGTGTGTATGAAACTCAGTAGTAGAAATGTGGTGGGATTAGTGCCTCATGCAGGGTCCTTAGATGGGACCTTCAGACGAAGAATCTGAGGATACTAGAGGCCTCCAAAGACTTTGAGAACTTCCACACTCAGAAGTGTTGGTTGTGTCCCATCAGGCAGCTCCAGGAGAGGGGCTCCCTGGTGGCTCATAGAACCTTGCTTGGAGGTTCCCTGCAGAGTCCCTGTGGTTTAGTAAGGTCAGTTGTCTGTTCTTTACTACTAAGTTCTCTGGCTGGTCTAATAATTAAATTGACATAAAACAGATTAATAGGAGGAAAACTAACTTCATATATTCAGGAGCTTATAAAAATATAACACTGAAAGAAGTAACGAAAACAGGAAGCTTTAACACCTTTTATACAAGGAAACAATAAATTTGTGAAAATTGACAAGAAAAATGGGTTTCAGTTTGTAGTAGTAAATTAATGAAGTAGTAACAAGATTTGTTTGTACAGCTTTCTCAGCCCTAAATTCCCCCCTCCTGGTACAGGTTAAATACCTTTCACACGAGAGATTTATTTCCTGCTTTCAGGGTTACAGGGGACAGTCAGAATGTCCATCTTGCACTGGCTGTTTTTTAAGTAACTTTAATTCAAAATAATCAATATTAAGGTGGCATATTTTAGGTGGTATATTCTATCTCCCTCTCCTTCCAACCTAATTTCATATAATCTAGCCCTCCTACCCCTAAAGTAGCCCCCAAATATATTCAGGAACCTGATTCATATACTTCATATGTACACACAAATATGCAAAGCATGATTCCTTCCAACTACCTAGGATGGCAAGTCCCCAATTCCCTACAAGGACTAGCCTTCTATAACCATGGAAATAACCCTGAATAAATCTCTGAAGAAACATTGTAATGTCTGTTGAAATATAAAGGACAAATGTGACACAGAAATCCACTAAGTTCTCGCTCTTTGAAGGGACCACATCTGATAGCTATTAAGCCAGCAGAATTCTTCAATTTGTATCTTTTTCAGATTGCCTATCTTGAGCAGCTTGGGTCTGTTTATACACTCCAGGATTTAACCATCAACATTATCTCACCTGCAATTCCAATTTACAATTCAGCCAATTAGTCATAGTCCCTCTCCATAGAGAGCTCACGAAGAAATGATTCACCCTGTTTACCCAAGACAGAACATACAGGAAAAATGTGTTTTCTGAAAATCTAAAATGGCAAAGGAGTGTATGGAAGCTACACTAACCTCCTACCAGGAATTACAATCTGGAATTACAACTAAATTATAGAGAAATCATCCTGAATACCCAACTAAACATTAGCTGGTGAGAAGCTTTATAACCAAGGACAGAAAGAAGAAACAACTTCACTGCAAGACTGGTATGGAGTGCAGAGGCAGCCTGAGAAGGCTGGCTGGGCTCCCATGGATGGCAGTTAAACTTCCAGAGGAATATTGCAGCAGCCAGGGCACTACCCCTGAGCATTATGGGGTCTAAATCCCAAGTTGTTCTCCACAGCCAACAGCACCAGAGCCAGAAAGGAACCCAGATAATATTCAATTGTGAAAAGCAGCAGTGTTCCCGTCTGCCAGGGAGAGATGACTGGAGATGCAGAGGGCCTCGTAAAGGTCCAACACACAAAATTCCATCTGCAGCCACTTACCGTGGGTTTTGGCAGAGTGGACTAGAGATGCTTGAGGAGAGTCTGGGGTTGGTGGCTCTGGGGAGAGAACTGAAGGAACACTTTCCAGGAGCTCTGTGCTGAGACATTTTCTGTACTGTAGAAGCCATCTTTCTCAGGCAGAGCACCCCTTTTCAAGCTGCATCAGGCTGAGGGGAAACAATAGTCCTGCCCTCAGGAATGAATCTGCCCCATCCTGTGCTGCTTAAGCTGAACTATTGCTTACAGCTTAAAGCTATATCATTGATTAGTTTAAAAACTAAGGTGGAAAATACAAAGAAGCAGGCAAAATGGGAAGACAGAAAAACAGTCCGCAAATGAAAGAACAAGAGACTTCTCCAGAAGAAGAACTTAGATGAAATGGAGGCAAGCAATTTATCAGGTAGAGAGTTTAGAGTCATGATTATAAGGATACTCAACAACATGAAAAAAGACACAGGAACCATAAAAAAGGACCAGTCAGAAATAAAGAATGCAATAACTGAAATAAATAATTCAATGGAGGAATAAATAGTAGGTTAGATGAGACAGAGGATCAAATCAATGATTTGGATGACAAGGTAGAAAAAAACACCCAGACAGAGCAGCAAAAAGAACACTTTTACACTGGTGTTAGGAATGCAGG